GCACCCCAGGAACAAAAAGATGTCTGTTTGCTTGTGGTTGGTTATGCCACAAGAAGTTTCAGGGTGGCCCAAAGGCGACATCTGTTTGCAGCCTAAGTTTAGCTCTACTGACCCCAGTGGAGCTCTGGAGCTCTCATTTGCACCCATTTAAGACTTGCTCTGTGCTCCTTTGGAGAGCTGTAATGAATAATTATAGCTGTACCTGTCAGAGCCCCCCAGGGAAATCCAAGCAGCCTTCTTGCAGAAGCTTCCATGTCTTCCTATCACAGTGGTACGAATCGGTGGCCATGTAGCTGCCTGGGTCCCTCCTGTCAGTCACATTCCAAGAGGAATCTAGTTGTCTTGAGCATTTTGCATTCATCTTGATCACCAACGTGTGTTCCCCTTTTTTTATATGGGGTGTTCCTGACCTCCAGACAATGTTAAGATATCAGCTCTAAAGGACATCTTACCTTGCGCAAAAGATGGATTCTTTTTGGCTTTAGTATTGCATTCTCCAATCTACCCACTAAGCCGATGATTGATTGTTATCACAGTAGCTACTGAACTGTCCACAACTGTTGCTCAGCTCCATTCTTTTTCTTTCCTTTACCTGCACTGCAGAATTATCTGAAGTCCTCTGGACCATGGTGATGAGTGTGGGACTCAGCAGTAGCGGCTGGGGAGGACTTATTGTGGTCTTTGTCATCTTTGCTGTCTTCGCAGTTCTGACAATAGCCATTCTGCTTGTCATGGAGGGTCTCTCTGCATTCCTCCATGCACTGCGCCTTCACTGGTAAGTTCTGTAAAAGAAGATTCTCCAAATGTCTTTCTCATTGCAATTTCAGGGAGAAAAGGGTACCCAAGGCCATGGAGATGGGGCCACCATAGATTTTGTTACAGAATGGTTTTTATTTACACCTCTGTTTCTGTGCCTTGGACCTATCCCAAACCATTGTGTGCCATTAGTAGTTCTGGGTCTGACTGCTAGGTGCACAAGTCACACACTATGCAGAAATATCCACTTCTGATTAATCTGAGACCACCAAACTCATGTCAGTCAGGACAAAGTTCATATTTGCAATCCAATTTCTGCAGGTAAAGGGCCACAGTGCTACTTTGACTTGGGTGATTAAGACATTTCTTTAAGATCTTATGATTGCAGCTTCACTCTGAATTCTAAGTACTTAAGGTATATCTGATATGCACTCAGGCCCTGTCCAGATGACTATGGATGTTTGGTTCCCCTTGGACAGCTAGTGGTGGTGCACCTTGTGCCTCAGCTGGTTGTCCCTGGGGAACGTCCATGCCATTCACACTCTGGCACATGGCAGGTTACCCCAGGGTGGGGTAGCGGAGGCTGGGGCCAGCACTGGACTGGCCCCAGCAGCCTTACCTGGGGTCCTGGGGGCCTCCTGGGACTGCAGCAGCAGTGAACCTGCCACTCAGAGCCTGGCTGGTAGCCGTAGCATGGCTCTGTCTGGTCAGGCTCCGGTTTTGAGCAGCATACACTGCCCCCATGCGCACCACTCCTCTTTATTTTTTTTTGAGCAAGCTTTTTTGACCCCTGGATACCCAGAGGTCACCCCCATGCTGCTCCCTTGCAGTGCGGAGAGCAGCTGAACATGTGGTATGTGGTGCCGCAGACCACATGGCCATGTTTGTCTGGATGTGGCCTCACTGTTGTATAAGACTGTATAAACCTTCTACTACCTCACTCGGGTACCAATGGAAGTCTAACCATGGTAGCATGGAAGTCAGCACAGAATACAAAACCTGTCTGAGAAACTGGGGAAGTCAGTCAGTTGGGTAGTAAATGCAGACTGATCTCTACACTGCACAGCTAAGCTGCCAGCAGTACCTGAGCTAGCTAGTTTAAAAGATAGTTCAGATCTGTTTATACTGCCCTGCAGTGTAGACATACCCTAGCACTGATGCATAAAGTAAAACCAACTGGAGGAAAAAACTCCCCCCAAACCAACCTTGGAGGGCATTTTTAAGTGTTGTTGCTGGGTACTTCCTATCTTGTGACAATCCATCACTAACCACATAATGCTGTCAACAAGACAAGGTTGAAAGGCTTGGAGTCACTTGATACTGGCTGGACACTGGGAAGCTGAAAAGTCTGTTATCCCAGATTGTTGTACTGTACAGTGGAGGGAACTTGGCCACATCTGACAGTAGCATACCTAGGGGAGGGTGAGAGGGGCACCAGCCCCATGCACCGACTTTAAGAAGGGCACCAAAATCATCTCCCATGCCCATGGAGTTCACGCCCCACAGCAAGAGCAGTCCCACAGTGTTGCTCTTGCAGCTATGGCAGCCGCGGCATGGACACTACACTGCTGCTGCTGCTCACAGGAGACGAGGAGGGCAGAGTGTGTGTGACCATGGTAGCAGCAGCTGGGGACTGGGTAAAACTCTTATGCCCAGCTCCTGCCCCTTCTCAGAGCCTGCAGCCCCCCCCGCCCCAGCTGTCCCACAGGGTTTCCCCAGGTTGCAGACCCTGTTTAATATATCAGTGCTCCCTGATGGTTATTAAAGATCTCATAGTTGTTAAGTAGTTTCCATTGCTTTCCAGATACTGCCGATTGTGCCCGTTAACAGCATTTCAGATTGACTTGTGGAAGGCCCTATACAGCTGGGTAGTACTTGTGAAGTCACTCTGCAGCTCGAGCATTTGTCTTTTTCAAGCACCTGCCTTTCTTCCTCCTCCCAGCAAGCAAGGGAGATGGAAATGTATTATGCTGAGAGTTCTTCTTTCTCTTCTAAAATGCAGTTGCTAATGGCATGATGGCTGGCTGGCTTCCATTATGCCACACATTAGACCCTGGAAAATCCCAACTTGACTGCTGACCTAGAACATATCCACATCCCAATGCTTCAGAGATCACTAGAAACTCATGTGAGTTTCTGACTCCCAACCTTGAGTCGTGTCCAGCTCCTGGTCTCCCTAGTAGTGCTGTTTCTACTTCCCTGCTTGATTTTTAGAATGATCCTTTCTCCTTCTTCTACCCCCCCACCCCCCAACACATTATACTGTGTAAGTTCATTACTGTGCCAATTTAACTGCTGTTTATTTTTCCTCATTAGGGTGGAGTTCCAGAACAAGTTTTACGTGGGGGCAGGCTATAAGTTTTCTCCTTTCTCCTTCTATGATATCATAAATGGAACAGAAGAATAAAGGCAGAATAAAGAATTGAAGAATAAAGGCAACTCAGCACACACAGATCTTTAGTTCCCCAGATCTTTCATTTTACTTTCTTCTTAATGTTATTACCATGTTGAATGCTGAATTCTCTTGAATGTGAATTTCATAGTGCACCTAGTTAATTGGAATGGTTATCCAAGTCAATGCCAAGTATCTAACTCTACAAATTTTTTGGAGTCACCTCTCTCCTGTTTGCTTAAAAATAGAGGAATTGTGATGTTTTGAAATGAATAAATTATTCATAATAAGTTCACATGTGCTCTTCCCCTTTCTCTGTCCTGCCTTGTGATACATTGTTTTCCAAAGAAAATGTATTGATTTAGACTTAGCCCCAAGGGTGATCAGGTGTCATTTACATGCGATTAAGCTGCTTGCCAGATTTCACTTCACTTAGCACACCAACTATACAAGCATGATTCAAAACGACTGAGAAGAATGCAGTACCACAAGCCTATATTTATGTAGGTACTTTACTGCAACAAACCTGCTATTATCGGATTTGTTCCAGAGTTTATAACTGCTGGACTTCAGACTTTCTCATACAGCGTCACTTTAGAAGAGTGTTAAGTCTGTCATTTAAATAATAGCACAGTCCAGCTGCAGACTCACAACCACTTTTTTTCTTTCATTGTTGACTTGTTTTCCTATGGAAAATCCACATGTAAAATGGTGACTTCTGTTTTAATTTTAAAATAGATTGTTAAAGTAGACTGTGCAAAGAATGCTAATGCATAATGAACGAGAAGAGCAGGCACATTAATACAGAAAAGCTGTTAGCTGTGTTGCCTCTGAAGTTAGGCATAGAGCAGGGCAGGGCAGAATGACACCTTATAATAGCTGATGAAGGTGGCCTACAAAAGCTTATGCCTCTTCAGACACTTCAGTGTAACCCTTCATCTTAAGCCTCTGACAGATGTTAAAAAGAAGGCTTGATGGGATCTGGTGCAGGATCCCAACAATTATGCCTCCTGTCCTGCCACATATGTATGGCAGGAGTCGTGATTGTGGGATTCAGCATTGATCCCATCACACCAGATTGCTGGCGCAGGAGGAGCCTGGAATCAAGATTGTGGGGCTCACCCTGCACCGGCAGTCATCGCCTCTGTGGCTGAGATCCCCATCAGCTGGCAGAGCTCCCAGCCACGGGAGTGCATGGTGTCCCCCTGCAGCTGGAAGCTTGGTCACTGATGGGGCTCTCAGCTGTAGGTGCGCACCCTGAGCTCCCCCAGCTAGGACCCTGTCAGTGATCAGAGCTTCCAGCTGTAGTGGAGCACCTAGTGCACCCATGGCTGGGAGCTCCATCAACTGATTGAGGTTCAGGGGATGAGCACAGTGAGCTTCCCCAACTGGGCCCCCAATCAGCTGACCTGCTCCCAGCCTCCAGAGCAAACAGGAGTGCTGGGAGCACTGGCCATACATTCAATTAAAAGTTTGATAGCAAGGAGTGACAAAGTTACTGGTCATATTTTATGTAATCGCTTCGCTGCTTAATCTTGATTTTTATTACACCATTAATTAAACAAATTGTTGGCCTGGTCACTACTTAAGACAGATTTAATGAGTTACACCTTAAGTGTAATGCGTGTCAGAGGCCTCAGTGTATTTGATATGTCCTTCTTTCACCAAATCTTAGTTTATTGCTAACCTCATTAGCATTAAATGGAATCATATTAATCATGAAGATTTTTCTTCTATAAATGTGGGTGTACTGTCAAGGATGCTGTTGTATTTTTCTATCAAGAGATTCTGATGAAGTTGTGAAGGAAAATCTTGCAATGGTTGGTGAGCAAATAGACCTCATCCATATTTCTCTTTCTTGATATTCGAGTACACAGAAGATATGCAAATACTGAAAGTTGCTAGAAAAATACTCAGTGAAATAGCTAACAATGCAGACATGTAAATTGCTATAATCAGGCTTGAGAATAAACATCCTGTCGAGAGAAACAGGGGAAATCACCGCCTCGGTCACAGTTGCTATATTTGATTTCCTGTGTTGCAGTCTCAGGAAGACAACACAGCATCAGGTCATTTCTGGAATGTTTCCTTGGTACCAGAGGAGTAGGAGATTTTGTTTAAATTGGAATTTCAATTCTGCAGAAGCTGGTGGAGCCCAGAGACATGGTGGGCTGGAATTGTGTCTGGCCCTTCAAACACAGGAGCCAGGATGCAACATTTTCTAGGCTTGAACAGGGCAAGGAGAACCTGCTTCTCCTGCCTATTTGAGAGTTACATGTTTTATGGTTGACTAAATCCATCTGCCTTGCACATGCACACTCATGTGCATACATACACACAGTAAGTTGTGACATTGTCTATGGATTATCAACATTCATAATAATACTTGGTTTTTTATTCAAGTTTTGTTTACTGGCAGAAGTGCAGGGTGGGGAAATAGCCCTTTGAAAGTAAGGCAAGGATCTGATTAGGTGTGTCGGCAAACAGAGAAAACAATTTACTTTATGAGAAAACAGGCAGGTGAATTTATCTGCACAAACATCTATTTTATCTTCATGGCTCCTCTCCAGGCAGTCAGATGTAACTGCGAAGAAGATTATCTGAAATGGAATATCTTTTTTTTTTCCCACACAGCTTCCTTGTGTTTTTGCTTTGAATTTTTATCTTAAATGGGGAAAGCAAACAAGATTTGGGTAAGTTAAAGCAGGGAGGACTGCTTAGTGACCTGGGTACTGTATTTCAACTCAAGGGATCCAATGTCAGGTCTGGGCTCTGCTACAGGCTTTTGTGTGACCTTGGGTGAGTCACTAAATAGGCTTTATCCCTAAGGGCATGTCTACACCATATCTTCAGTGTGTCGGGGTGGGGGGTCCAATAGTAGTACACAATATTGATGACGACCATAAAAATGCATCTCTAGGTGGAGGTGGACCACCATGCACAACTGGAGTTTTTGTGAGAAGAGTCTTTTAAAGTAATGGCTGGTCCCTGAGGATTGATCATGGGCTTTACATGAGAGACATTTCTAAACCACTTTGGTTTCTCTATTTAGTGGGATGTAGGTGGCCACCTGACCTGGATGGACCTGGGGAAGCTGATAATTATTGAATAGTAATCTTTAACCCCAAATTCTGAAATCCTTGCTGATTCTTTGCTCACTCATTATGATCATTACTACTGCCTTCCCCCCAGGTCTAGCAGCCTGCAAAGCAACCTTCACTTAGCAAAACTGTGCAGCTCTGAACCATCAGACCTTCACAAGAAATGATTGCCTTCATGCCCAGGGTTTTACCCTGTCCACCCATTACCTTGGATCATGGTAATGGGATAGCGGGATGATTTGAGTTCTGTGTTGTCATGGGGTGCTGAGCAAATATCAAGCATCATGCAGTCTGGTTTAGCCTAGCAGTCTAATGCTGAGGCAGGTAAACTACTATTATCCCAAAAGTGATCCTTCCAGTACAAAGTTATGGCCTGTCAGCGAATCTGGATGTATTGCTGACCACAGTCTGTCCAGCTTGTAGAGAAGCAAGTTTCCATCACTAGTAGTATGGTGCATTTCCGTAAGGGCCAAATTTGCTTCAAACCAAACAGCACAGACTTCTGGCAACTGCAGCCTTCCAGCCTCACTTGGCCCCTTAGGGCTCACTGCCAAAGAAAACCTCATGGATCAGTCATCCTAGCTGACTTTGCTTTCTGCTTTCAAGGCAAACTCAGGCTGCCGTAGCATGACGCAGAGACCTCCTGTCCCCCTACACACACTGACACAGTGGCACCCCTGAAGCTTTGTTCCCATGTTTTTCCATACTAGTTGCCAGTACTGAAGCGTGGATTATAGTAATGGCAGAGTCCATTCAGATCACCATGATCCAAACACTTGTTCCTTTGTGGCTAATGTTACTGTGTGCATCGCTGGTTTGAGTTTGTTGTCTTTCAGGCAATTGCCCAGTTCCTTCAATTCTGTTTTGTCTGTTTATCCAGAATAGTCTCAGTGTTATGTTTCCTTTCCTGCTTGCCTGTGGTTGCCAAACCAGCTGTATCCTTCCTTCTTCTGCTTGCTGTAGGCATGGAACGAAGGAGCAAAAGAACATGTCCCTCATTATATTATAATAAAAAGGCCTATTTCACCCTTTCCAATTTTATTGATTCCCAGCACCGTAGTATCCAAATGTCTTCTGTAGTGTCTTCTGGTCATCACCTTTGTTAAGTGATGGACACAGTGTGTGCTTAGCTTACAAACTTACTTAAGAAAACCTTAGGCTAATACTTCATCACTTTTGCTTACAGAATTATAAGTCAGCAGGCAGAAAAGAACCAAGAAGCCATCAGTTGCCCAAACCTGGAGCGCAGCTGGGTTGTTTTGTACATCATCAGTTCTCAGTCATGCTTGGGGGGGGGGCTGGGTTGTACCAATTATTTCCCTCTAGCCTTCATCTCAACGTGCACTGCATCTATCATTGGTGCTCTATGGATATATACTGGATGCATCTACATGAGATGCTTCTAGCCAAGTTGCCTAATTAACTCTGCAGTAAAGCACCACTGTTTACACGAGTGGTGCTATTCGGCCAGAGTAAGCTAATTAACTGTACTCTAGGAATGTATTGCCCAATGCGAGTACTAGTCTACGGCAGAGTTATTTATTCTGCCACAGCACATATGTAGACAGTGACTAGAGCAGGCAGGGGCATGAGGGCACTATGTAGGGCTGCCTGCTGGCTAGCCCCACACTATAGCACCTTTATATACCAGCCAGCCCTGCTGCAGCAAGTTGAGCCAGGTAGGAGCAGCCCCAGGCTGGCAGGCAAACTCTTTGGGCCCCCTGCCCTGGCTCAATGTGCTATGATCCCAGGTGCATGTGTAAACACTGTGCCCAGGAGCAATAAACTCCATTGCAGATTGTGCCAGAGTTTATTGCATCTAATTGATTTAATGTCTAGATTTGCCCACTATGTAACTTTTTGATCCAGCCAGGACTCAAGGCATTATACAAACTATCCAGTCATTTTCTGACTGAATTAATTTCTCCCATACTTCCTTGAAATAATTTGGTAGGCCCATATTCTAGGAACTATCTGTTCAAGTAACATTCTTCTGCTCATCTGTTTTGCAGAATAATACCCTGCCTCAAAGGGCTAAAAGGGCCTCTTGAAATGTTTGTAACTGCTACATTACAGATGCTTAAAATTATGAAACATCTCTCACTATGAATCCCCAGGCATTATAGGAGTCTTATTTAGCATCATTACCTTTTTAAAATAACTATCAGCATCAGGTATTTTGTCTACATGAGCA